GCTCTGCGTGGCCTGGGGGTGGAGGGGCCAGAGTAGACCCCAAGCAGGGCTGTTTCCCCTGCGGGTGTTCATTTGGCCACAGGAGGTACCCAGGTGCCCGCAGGGCTGAAGTTCTGGAGCTTGGTCATGGAGGCTGAATGGTGGGTGGCATGCCATCTGGAGGCCACCTTCCATTCAGGGTGCAGTGTCCTGGCCACCAGCTGGCCACTCGTTGGGTGCATGGGTGGCGGTTTAGAGCTGTGTCCTTTCCGCTGACCTCTTTGCTCTTCTTGGCAGTGACTGGGGGTGCTTGGAGGCTGCGGGTACTATGACATGGGGGTAGCAGGGAGCCCCAGCTGGCCCAGAGATGAAGGCAGTGGTGCCCAGGCAGGCAGTGGTGGCAGCCCCAGGGCCAAGACACCCCCTTCTGCAGAGCTCCACACAGTGCCCATGTTCCTTCACACTTCGCTCTGGCCCAACACTACGCTCAATCCAGACTTGTCTCCTGGATCCCAAGGCCACCACCACACACACACACACACACACACTCACGCGCGCGCGCCCTGTGTTCCCCTTGCCCCCAAGAACTGTTCTTGGCTCCTTCCCACACATCCCTGCCATGGGGGGAGGTGGGCTTCTGGCACACTTTCATTGTCCCCAGTGTATAGGTTCCTAGGGGATCCCCATTGGTGGGGCAGTGCCAGGCACATGGGCGTATGCTGGGTGACCACAGGCACTGATCCGTGTGCTGGCACTCAGCTTTTCTTCTCTGAGGCTATGGTCCTGGCAGCTCCTGTGTGGATCTCAGCTCTGTGCCCTGAGAGCTGGACCAAGCACACACCAATTGGTGCACACTCTCCCCAAACAGCATTGGCACCACCGTCTCTGCCAGGTGTCCCAGGCCCACCCGGCAGGGTAGAGTTGGGGGAGGCTGCACATGGCCTACCACCCCTTGGCCTCTTAACGCTCCAATTTCCTGGAGCCATCAGCATCTTCAGCCACAGAACACGGGGCTCCCCTCATGTGCACTCCAAAGCTGCTACCTCACTGGGAGTCCCGACTGGAAAGGCCTGATTCCCCGGCCTGGGGCAGCCACAGATAACAAGCTAATTAACGCCTGCACCTCCAACCCGTTTGATCTTCAAGGGGTCTGAACCCACCTCCAGCTTAATCGCCCAAAGGAAGACAGCTTTGCCTGGAGATAAAGCACAGATTGTCTTGGAATCCGCTTGGGAGCTCAGCTGGCCCCACCTGCACGGCCCAGGTGCAGGCAGCACTGGTTCTGCCCCGGCCCAGACCAGGCCCTGGAGAAGCAGCTGAGCGTGGCGCCCTGGGTTTGCCGTCTCTTCCCTAAAGAGACTGAAGCTGAGGGGTGCGGAGACACAGCCAGGGATGGGAGGCGCCTGGTGTGCCCTCCCCGCCCCCCCAGCCTGACGGATGGGACCAGGTGGCAGTGGTGAGGGGGCCTGCCTCTGTCTCTGTGCGCGAGAGCTCAGCTCCTGGCCTGGCACCACATTAACCCAGCACCAGCTGGTGCCGAGCCTGGGCAGGAGAATGGCAGTACAGCAGTGGGCAGGACACATGCACACACGAGGGACACACATGCAAACACGGGAGACAAAACATGACGGACATGTGTGGTGCGCACACACAAACACGTTTGGGGCACACGCAGACATTCTCCGCAAGCTCAATACCCTGACATAAAGGGTGGTGTCTCGCTGCGGGGGTGCAGCCCAGAGGCCCGGCCAGTCCCCGGGAGCGCACCCCCTCGCGGCCTATTTGCAGCCCCTGACTCACCTTAATCACCGCCTGCGGGAAAAAGCCGGGGACCCGCCCAGGGTGCCCGAGAGAGGCCGGAACCCAGCTCTGGAGGCGGCCGGACATCCTGGGCCGCCAGGTGCACCTTCGCGTCCCACCAGTTCCGGAGCATCCGCGGCCTCGGGCCGCCGGGGTCCCGCAGTTCCGAGGATGATAGCCCGCGGCCGCGGGGTGGCACGGCTAACCAGGAGAGGCGGAGGAGCGGGTCCCCTGGTGGACGCCTGGCTGCTGGACCCGGGGTGAGGATGCTTGGCGGAGCCCAGAGCGCCGCGCCCACGCTCCAGGCCGCTGCAGCCGCCGCCTCGCGCGAACGCAGGGTATATTTAGCCTCATTATCAAACGTACGCAGGGAGGCCTGGGAACCGCCTAATAGCGGCTGGAAACGAAACTCGACCCCACCTCGCTCCCCCCCGCGCGCAGGGGCACGTGACCCCTTGCAGCGGCCGGGTCAGGTGCGGCGTCCCCCGTCAGTCCCCGCGCACAGGGTCCGCGTGGCTCACCTGCCGCTGGGAGCAGGGACGCGGCGGCGGAGCGGTGCTGTCCATCAAGTTGGAGACCTCCGCGGCCTCAGTGTCCTATCCCGGAGTGGGACGGGAAGTGGGGATCCATTTCCTCCCGTTTCCCCGCGGGACTGGCGGCTGTCGCCGGGGTGAGGGACGACCCTGGCCTCCCTCGGAGGCGGCCGTGGCGCACTCGCAATGTCGTACCCCCTCAAGCAGCCGCAGTTTGTCGTGGTCGCTATGACGACGGTCGCGGTTTTATTTTTAATAGCGGCCGGCGACTAGGGGTAGGTCCGCGCGCGGCTATCGCAGCTCCGGCGTCCCAAGGTGATGCCCTCCAGGCCTCCCGCACGTCTCCTTTCCCCACGCCCAACCCCAGCTGCGCGCCCCCGCAGCACAGGGCCCAGACACCGCGGAACCCGTGGAATTCAGGGAGGGGGTCGTGGCTGGAGGGTCCTGGCTCCCCACTCCGCGTACCGTGCGACCTTTCCCCGGGCCGTGACCTCGAATCCCCTCCACCTGGGACCTCCGCGCACAACTCCGGGATAAGTGTCGGAGGGCTCACGCCCGGTGCAGCCACGAGGGCCTCCAAAGCCGCGAGGAGGATGTGGTCCTAGGGCCAAAGCTGCGCTCTCGGGTCTCGGGGTGCGGGCTCCCAACGTTGCCAAGTGTCCCAGGCCACCTGGAGGGCACCCTGGGTGGCAGGGGTCGCAGTGTGGAGCACCCGCAGACCCAGGACCACCCGGGGGGCTGCATAAAGGGTTCCTCCCCCAGCCTTAGGGGAAGAGGGCGCACCCCCAGAGCGCTCGGTCTTTGAAATGCGTGAGCCGGCCTGGCTAGGGGCTTGAAAGACAGCCCGCGGGGCTGCGCCTCCACCGTCTTTGTCTGGCGGGACGGGGGCGTGGGTGTAACCCACAGGACCGGAGTGTTAGCCGCCAGGGGCGGCCCGGTCCACCCACCCATCCACGGGGGCTTCTCCTAGTATCTAAAGACCTAGGCTCCGGAGTCTACTCAGTCCACCACACTTCTGGCTCTGGTACTGAGGCGCGAACGCCCCCTCGGGAGGGACCCCTGCCGGCCTCTGGTGGCGGGCGGACCCCACCCTGCCCAGGCGTGCCCGCCCTTCCGCGGTGGGGGAGCCGTCCAGGCCACTCCAAGAGCAGCCCCCGCGCGCCTCGCTCGCCCGCAGCGCGCTGGGTGCGGCGCAGCGGCCGGAGGTGGCGCTCTGGGAGCCCAGCGGATCCCGGCGCGGGAAGCTCTGAGCCCGGGTCTCCTTTCGGGCGGCCCTTTTCCTCCTCGCCGCCCCCTCAGTTCTCGGCGCTGGGCGCGGCCCAGGCCTTTGGCGAGGCAGTGGGACTCGGGGGTCCCAAGGTGGGATGAGGCGGGCTGGAGCCCCTTCCCCAGGCCCGGACTCCGCCCCATCGCGAATGTGGGTGGAGGTGCCTCGCTCAGGTGCCCCAGCCTGGGCGGGGGCGCGTGGCAGCCGCCAGGTGAGTGCCCCAGACGCGCCCCTAAGCCCGCCCCTCCCCTCCACCGAGCCTCCCTCCCCCTCCTTTTATGGAGCGGGAAGGCCGGGGCCCTGCACCCGCGCGGCGGAAAGCGGCCCAAGCGCCCGGCTGCTCGCATGCCCTTTTTGGCGCAGCGGCTCTGGCGCTGCCGTCTGCCGCCGCTGGGGCCCGAGCGAGGCGAGCCGGCGACGGCGGCGGCCTCCTCCCCTCCCCGCGCGGTGCCGCAGAATTGCAGCTGGCACTGGAGGGTGGGCAAGCTCAAGGGAGGGGCGCGGGGGGCCCCGGCGCCTGTGCTCCGAGCTTGGATGGGTGTAGCTGCCGGCGGGAGCGGGAGCGTATTCACTGCAGCGCAGGCGGCGGCGGCCGGGCCCGGCCCGGCCCGCACGATCCCCGCGCGCTTCCGAGGTGCGGGTCCCGGGCCCGGAATCCGGGGGAGGAGGGGGCGGGAGCGGGGGAGGGGCGCAGCGGCGGCGGCGGCGCTATAACCCCCTCCCCGCGGCCGGCCGGCTCCACACGCGCGTCCTGCGGAGCCGCACAACTCCGGCGAGCCAGGCCTGCCTGCGCCGCCTCCTCCAGCTCGTCTCCCCGCGGCGGCGGCGCCAGCTCGGCCTGTGCCCGCCCTCAAGCCCGCGCGGGCGGCGGCGGCTGCTGCCCGGCTGCGCGGCCGCGGGCGCTGCCCGGCTCCGGCCGGCGTAGGGCGGAGCGCGGCGCCGGAGCCCAGGGCGCGCCGCGGAGGGGCGCACGCAGGCCGCCGGGCCGCGCCGTTCCGGGCCGTGTTGTGCCCGGCCGGGAGGCGGCGGCGGCGAGTGGAGGCCGGAGGGGAGCGCAGGGCCCGCGGTCGGCGCGCAGGGGCGCCCGCAGCCTCCTGGCCCGGCCCAGCCGGGTGTCCGGACAGGTGATCGCGGGGCGGTGGCGGCGGCGGCGGTGGCGGCGGCAGCAGCTCCGGCTCCAGTCTGGCTCCGGCGTCCCTCCGGGGGCCGATTCCCGAAAAAATGCAGAATTACCGGCCCGGTGGCTCCTAGAGCCAGCGCCGGGGAGCGAGCGCGGCGGCGGCCGGCACCGGGAACGCACCAAGAGCCCAGCCCCCGCCCTCCGCCCCTTCCGTCCCCACCCCCTACTCGGCGGCCCTGGAGGCTCCCGGCGCGGCGGGCGCGGCGGGCGCGCACTCTCCCTCCTTCCTGCTCCTCGCTGGCGCTGCACTCGCCGCGCGCGCTCCTCCGGCTCGCCGCTCTCCGCGCCACCCTGCCCCGGCCGCGCTCCTGAGGGATGGTACTGAATCTCGCCGGCACAGGAGCCCCGCTGGAGCGCCCGCCCCGCGGTCTCGCCTCCCCGCCGAGCCGCCTGCGCCTCGGGACGCGATGAAGACCTGGGCTTGCCTGCTGCTTTTGGGCTGCGTATACCTGGCCCATGCCCTGGCCGAGGTGGGTGCCACCCCCGGGGCCCCGTCCCCTCTCTGGGCTGCGCCCTGGCGCCCCGACCCTCCGTAGGAGTGCGTATGGCTGTCCGCTTGGGTGGCGGAATTCCGAGTCTCCCCGGCGGGGCTCTGTTTTCTGCCGTAAGTGTGTGCCTGGTGAGTTTCCAGGGTGTTGCGTCGCTCTGCCTCGGGGGTGGTTGGTGGGGAGACCCGGAGCGGCGAGAAACTTCCAGGGGTGCGGGGGCCTCGAGGGAGGGGTCTGTGGCGCGCAGCGGGCCCTGCGGTAACGGAGTGTGTGGGGAAGGGGGTGTGTGAGTGTGTGTGTGAGTGTGAGGGAGGGAGGGACGGACGGAGGTAGAGCGATCGCGCGCAGATCGCGGGAGAAGAGTGGCCTCCTCTGAGCCGGGAGGAGACGCTGCGGCCCCGGCAGGGTGGGCAGCGCCCAGCCGCAGCCCCCGGCCCCGAGCCCCGCGCGCGCCGGGCCAGCGCAGACCCGCCCGCCGGGGCCTGCTTACAGGTGGCTGCGCGAGGCGAGCTGGGGCTGCGCCAGGCGCCCGCGCCCTCCCTCCGCCGCGTCCCCACCCCCCACCTAAGTCTCCGGGAGCTCTGTGTTGATGAATGACTTTCCTGAGCTCCCGTCGTGGGAACTTGGGGCTGCAAGCCTCCCCCTCCCCCACACTACAGCGACCCCCAATTCCCTTAAAAAAAAAAATCGGGTGGGGAGGCCGAGGTTGCAGTCGGGGCTGGGACGGAGGGCGGATATTTAACCCTCGCTCTCCCGGGCAGCCTCTGCTGGCCTCTGGGCGGGTCGGGGCGTCCGGGTCGGCGCTAGGGCCGCGGCCGGCGGCAGGGGTGGGGCGCGCGCGGTGGCGGTGACTCGGGAACCGGTCCTCGCCACTCGGCCGGGGTTCCAGGCGAAAAACCCGAGCCCCCGGCGAGATGAAAGTGGCAGTGCCGCTGGCCCCGTGACGCATTTCCACTTGATGTCTCGGGACGCTGATTCCACTATCAAATCCGAAACTCCCAGGCCTCCCGCATCCGACTCGGCGCGCAGGGGCCTCAGCGCGGGATGATGGGGGTGGGGAGCCGAGGAGGGGCTCGACCTTCCGCAAGTCGGGGTGGGCCTTGTTTCCGCCGGGGACTCGCCGCTGCGCTGACCATTTGGCCTCTGGTTACAGGGCCCCGAGATCCCGCGCGAGGTGCTGGAGCGGCTCGCGCACAGTCAGATCCACAGCATCCGAGACCTGCAGCGGCTCCTGGAGATGGACTCCGTAGGTAAATCGCGCCCCTTCCCTCGTGCGCCCCTCGTCACCTCCCGCGTTCGGCCAGGCCGGGCGCCGCGCAGGAGCGCACCGAAAGGTCAGAATCCAACCCCCAGCCATAAACGCCCAGGCGGATGAGTCAGGAGTTTCTCCAATCGCCACCACTTTCTCTCCCGGCTGCGGCGGAGGGCTGCTCGCTCGCCGGCCGGCTCGTTCTCCCTCCCGCCTTTTGCGTTTGAGGAAAGCGCTGTGGGTGTCGCGGAAAGTTCAGCCACACACAGGGCGCCTGCGCCCTGGCTAGGCGCCCTGGCTAGGTGTGCACTGATCCCCAGAAGCAGCGGAGACGGCCCAGGCCCGTGCGCCCTGCGGCGGTGCGGCGCGCTGGAGCCTCCCGCCCAGCCCACCAAGGCGGTTCTTGAGGGGGGCCGGGGCCTTCTACCCCGATCCTACAAAAAATGCGCCTGGGATGCGCCTGCCACTTTGGGGCTGTTTGGGGGGCGCCCCCTCAGGACCTGGAACCGGGCCGCTTTAGCACCCAGCGTCCGTGTCGCCTTGGCTGTCATTTCCACACTTGGAGTGGACCCAGGGCTGCAGGGTGGGGTGGGCGTGGCAGTGCCTGGAGGGCTCCTGGGCAGCAGCTCACGGATTCACCTGGTGGGTTTGTGCTTTTCTTTCCTTTCCTTTTTTTTTTTTTTTCTTTTTTCTTTCTGCTTTGCTTTGCTTTGCTTTCATGGCTTAAGAGCTTGTCAGAACAGTAGCTGCAGGCAGCCCAAGTACAAGGATTTTAACTGAAATTCACAGGGGGTGTGTGGGGGGGAGTTCAGTGGAGTCACATGGGCTAGTCATTTGGAAATTTGTACCTAATTATGCGGTGCTGTTGGCGTCTCCTGCCAAGAGTATTTTCTAACAGCCCGCCAGTTCCTGCAGCTTCTTGACCCAGGAAATCCTTTCGCTGATCCTTATCAGAGGGCTTGGGTTTCACTGGCGGTCCGGGGTGGGCGGGAGCAAGGCCGGGCTGCCCCTGGACCTGCAGCCTGCAGGGAAGAGAAGGCCCACCTGCTGCCCGCCAGTCCTCTGTGGACTGGGAGCTGGGAAGAAGCTTCTGACTGTGGTGGTGGTGGGCTGGCCATTCACTTTGAGGGCTTTTCTGCCCCGCCCCAACCCATTAACCCATTTTGCATTGCAAGTCCGTGGGGGGTTTTGCTGCATTCCTGACCTGGGGGCTGGGGTGGGGGGAGGAACTTGGGCTCCTGCTGAGCGCCCCGGCCTAGCCGCCATCTCTCCTGTACACCTACCTGTCTGACAGTTGGGGAAGGAGACTGCTCCCCTAGGCCCCTCTGCAGGGATGGCTCCTGCTAGTCCAGGGGGTCTTGTGTGCTCACCCTGCTTCTGTCCCTCTGGAGAGTGGCTGACCATTTGGCTGCAGGTCCCCTAGGAAGGCGTGCCTGTTCTTTGCAGCTCCTTGGGGTGGGTCCCTCCAGCTGCATGACCAGTGCTTGGGCCAAGGGGTGGAGCTCTGTGACCTGCAGGTAGTGCCAGAGGATGCCTGGCCTGTGTGTGTGGGGGGGGGGCGGATCCCACCATGCGTGAGGCCTGAGATCTGAAGCCGTGGAGCTCGGCGTCTGCTGTGTGGTGTTGGGGAGCTCTGCCAGGGTCCCGTGCGGGGCTGGGCCCTGGCTCACAGACCCCTGCTTTGGGTCCTCTGGGCTCCCCTAGCTCCCCAGATGTGGAGCCTTGAAGGATTGGTGTCTGAGCTCCATCTTGCAGGGCACAGCAGGGACGTGCTGGACCTGGAGCCTTGTGTCCCTTGCTGTTTTCTTGTCCCTGGCTTGCCCTGTTTGTGCGTGTCCAAGGACGCCAGAACCTACTGCACTTCCAGGCTGGTGGTCGATGTGGGCCTGCCCAGGTGGCCACTGACCTCGAGAGGCCTGGATGTGCTGGCTGGCGTGGTGGCACCAAGATGGCCACCACCAAGCCATATCACTTTTTTGAGAGAAAAGAAATAAAAAGCTGCTTCTTGTGACAGTTCGTTGATGGGAAATTCTTCTGACATGAGTTGTTCTGTTCTGATCTTATTTTGGGTCTCAAAAAAAAAAATTGGTGGCAGTGGAACGTTGCATCATTAGAAGTAGAGCTGGAGCTAAACTCTGCCCTGGTCTGAGCTGTCCTGTTAGGTGGTGGGGACAGGCTAAGCAGCTGTCATCCGAGTGTCCTTCACGCTGGGGCACTGGACAGAGGCCGCACGGGGCCTGCCCTGGCCAGCTAGGGGCATGGGTAGGCTGTGTGTCCTGGGGCTGGGGTTTCCACTCTGTGCTGATGCCATGGGTACCCTGGCTTCAGACCTGCAGTCGCCCTGCTCTGTGATCGCGAGTGGCCACACTGCCAGGTTTTCTTATGGTCCCTGGGCAGATGCATTTCAGGAGCAAGGCAAGTGGGAGGGTTGGCCTCCAGGCCATGCTGGCCTGGCCCTCAGGCTTGGATGCTCTGTCCAGGCAGCAGAGCCCACATGTCCAGTGGGACTCTTAGCAGCCTGCCTGAGCCCCCCCCAAAATCTGCTGCACCCCTCTAGGGACTGGGCCTGTCAGTGCTGGGATAGGGATCCCCCCACAAGGAGGCACCCAGGGAGGCCGCCCCTAGCCCAGCTCCGGGTCGCCGTGGTTAGTGGCCCCTGGAAGCGGCCTTGAGGGGTGCAGGGGTGGGGAGGGGCTGGTCCCAGGCTCTCTCATCTCCCAGTAGGAGCCGAGGATGCTCTGGAGCCGAGCCTGAGAGGCCCCAGGGTCCACGCAGCCAAGCCTGTGGCTGAGAAGCGGCTGGCACCCGTGCGGAGGAAGCGGAGCATCGGTGAGTGGAGCGGGACTGCTGGCTGGCCCCGATTCTGTGGCCCCGGGGCGCCATTTCCTCCCCACAGCAACAAAGGCCCCGCCCGCCCCACTGCACCGAGCCACCACGAATTCCTGAAGTGCCTGCTCCTGTCGGGGCCTGTCGGCAGGGCAGGCAGCCTGTGGCAGGGCAGGCAGCCGGCTGCCAGCTGCAGAGCTGGGTGTAGCCCACGGGGCGGGTGGGCGGGCGGGGGCTCTTGCTCTGAGGGTCCCTGGGCCTGTGCCTTCTTGCCCCCAGTCATGCTGGGGCGGGGGCTCCTGCTGCCCAGCAGCCTCCTGGCGAGGGGGCCCTGCCAGGCGCCATTCTCCGTTCCCAGAGTCCAGGCTCTTTGCCTTGTCCAAAAACAAAAGGACCAGGTGCCTTGTGGCCCTGCAGTGCTCAGCCCTGTCTGCTCCCTGCAGGGGCTGGTGGGGGGGGCCCTGCTGGGTGGAGGGCGGGGCCTGGAGGGCGGAGGGCGGGGCCTTGGGTGTGTAAGGTGAGGTGGGCGGGGCCTGGAGGGCGGGGCCTTGGGGTGTGTAAGGTGAGGAGGGTGGGGCCTTGGGGTGTATAAGGTGAGGAGGGCGGGGCCTTGGGTGTGTAAGGTGAGGAGGGCGGGGCCTTGGGTGTATAAGGTGAGGAGGGTGGGGCCTGGAGGGAGGAGGGCGGGGCCTTGGGTGTGTAAGGTGAGGAGGGTGGGGTCTGCAGGAGTGTGAGGGGAGATGGGCGGGCCTTGGGGTCTGCAAGAGGAAGAGGGCCGGACCTTGGGGTGTGTGAGAGAGGTAGGCGGGGCTTTGGGGTCTGTAAGGCCTTAGGGGGACTTGGGATGTGGGGGTGGGCGGGGCCTGCAGGGGTCTGCGAGGGGAGATGGGCGGGGCTTGGGGGTCTGTAAGGGAATGGGTGGGGCCTTGGGGGTCTTGTGAGGGGAGGTGGGCGGGGCTTTGGGGGGTCTCTGAAGTGGGTGGGGCCTTGGTGTGTGAGGAGATGAGGGTGGGGCCTATGGGGAGGTGGGTGGGGTCTGAGGGGTGGGCGGGGCCTGCAGGGCCTGTGAGGCGGGGCTCCAGGTGGGTTGTGAGGTGCTGGTGCTGCTGGGAGCTCTGAGGGGAGGTGGGCGGGGTGTGTGAGGGGAGGTGGGCGGGGTGTGTGAGGGGAGGTGGGCGGGGTGTGTGAGGGGAGGTGGGCGGGGTCTGTGAGGGGAGGTGGGCTGGGTCTGTGAGGGGAGGTGGGCGGGGTGTGTGAGGGGAGGTGGGCGGGGTCTGTGAGGGGAGGTGGGCTGGGTCTGTGAGGGGAGGTGGGCGGGGTGTGTGAGGGGAGGTGTGCGGGGGTGTGAGGGGAGGTGTGCGGGGGTGTGAGGGGAGGTGTGTGGGTCTGTGAGGGGAGGTGGGCGGGGTGTGTGAGGGGAGGCGGGGCTCCAGGTGTGTTGTGAGGACCTGGTGTTGCTGGGAGCTCTGAGGGGAGGTGGGCGGGGTGTGAGGGGAGGTGGGCGGGGTGTGTGAGGGGAGGTGGGCGGGGTGTGAGGGGAGGTGGGCGGGGTGTGTGAGGGGAGGTGTGGGGGTGTGAGGGGAGGTGGGCGGGGTGTGTGAGGGGAGGCGGGGCTCCAGGTGGGTTGTGAGGACCTGGTGTTGCTGGGAGCTCTGAGGGGAGGTAGTAGTGCCTGCTGGGTGTTTTCAGGTGGCTTGACCCGAAGTTGGTTGGGGGTCAGTGGGGTCCTTGACCCCTAGCGGCAGGGAACTTGGGGTGTGCCCATACTTCCTGTCTCAGGGCGTGGGTGGAGGTGGCCCTGCTGGGCAGCATGGGGGGCCTCCAGGCTCACGCCGCTGTCCCCGCAGAGGAAGCCATTCCTGCCATCTGCAAGACCAGGACCGTCATTTACGAGATACCTCGGAGCCAGGTGGACCCCACGTCGGCCAACTTCCTGATCTGGCCGCCGTGCGTGGAGGTCAAACGCTGCACCGGCTGTTGCAACACCAGCAGTGTCAAGTGCCAGCCGTCACGCGTGCACCACCGCAGCGTCAAGGTGAGGCCCGCGAGGGCGTGAGTGTCCTCTGGGAGCCGGGGGAGGCCGCGTGTCGGGGCCCCGGGTACCTTCGCCCCGAGCTGGGACTTATCTTGCCCCCCTGGGGACTTGGGCCTCTGGGTACTGAGTCAGCAGATTCCACGCGTGACTGCCCCAGGTGTGCAGGGGACCGGCCTGGTGCCAGAGGCCAGCTCCCTCTGAGCAGGCGCCTTCTGGAAGTAGTGTTCCTGCCCGCTCACCTGGCCGCGCGTGGGGAGGAGCGTCCTGGGGACCCGCGTGGAGGCCGAACCCTCCGCAGCGCGCTCCCGGACCGGCCGGTGCTCTGGGCTGGCCCCAGCCTCTGGCCGGGAGTGCCGTCTGCCCTGCATTTCTGCTTTTTATGGCCTCCTGATGATGCCACAGTGGAGTTGTCACCCTGCTGGGACCCAGGCTGGGCATGGTGGGGGCGGCCGTCAGCCTCCTGTGCTCGGCCGTGTCCGGGCCCCGGGTGGGCCAGCTGCCCCGGGGGGAGTGTCAGGGCTCTGGGTGTGAGTGGCCAACCTGGGGAGCGGCGGGTGGGCTCCTGGCTGCCGCCCTAGCTCTGTCCTCCTGGCTTCAGGGCTGAGGGGACTGGGCGTGGGCGGGTGACGTGGGCAGAGGCCTGAGTTCTGTGCAGGGTGCGGGTCCAGCGTTACAGGCCCGGCCTGCTGGTGTCCACCCTCCCAGGACAGCCCCCATCACGGTCAGCCTCCTGTGGCCGGCCAGCAGTACCCCAGGCTCCCGGGAGGCCTAGCCCCCCCTGTGTACAGGAGAGGGGAGAGGGCTCCCAGGGCAGCCTGATGGAGCCTCGTGGCCCTGGCTGCTGGGTGCTTGGGAGGTGGCCTCGCAGACCTGGGGGGAGCCCCTGATCCAACCTGGGCACCTGCCTTTTTAATCTGCCTGGTAGCTCCGAGAGCGGGGGGCCCAGACAGGGGTCTGGAGGGGTGACCTGCCCCAGACCTGTGCCTGGAGAGAGGACTGGACTTGCAGCCCAGCGGGGGGACCTCTCCCTGACATGGGGATTGGGGGCCGTGGTTGGTTGGTGGCCCTGGCCTGCCTGGGTCAAGTTCCCAAGACTTTGACTGTCCTGAGCTGCCGGCAGGGAGGGGGCGGGGGAATGCCGCACGTTTCCTGGCCAGGAATCACACGTGGCCCGTGCAGGTGCCGTCATAAATCGCTGTCTGTTTACCTTTGATAAAGGGGCTGTCTGGAGAGGAGGTTCCCAGACGGGGCGGCCTGTTGAGTGCCCTTGGCTCGGGCACTGTGGGGGGCAGTGCCCGGAGGGCCCAAGAGACCCCTCCTTGTGTGGCCCGCCTACATGGGTGCGTGATGGGCCAGAGAGCCCAGGCTGGCTCTGCAGAGGTGAGAGGAGGGGCTGCTGTGGCCCTGCCTGGCTGGGAGTAGGGCTGCTGCCCGCTGTCCGCAGCTCCAGGCTAAGGGAGGAGGGAGTCTGGGCATTCAGGAAGGGCTGCTGGCCATTTGTGGGACAGGGCTCCATCCTTGCTCTGGGGGGGGGTTGTGTCCCGTGCTTCTGGGAAAGGGTCCAGAGCTCCCTGGTCCTGGGCTTTCCAATTCACAGTGGTCGGGAGCAGGTGGGCCCCCTGGGGATGCAGAGCCTCCACACATAAGCCCTTGGGGCCCAAGTGTCACTCTGCTGAGTGGGCCCATGAGCAGGTGGCCCTATGTGGGTGTGGTCCCCGGGCACAGGTGTCTGATGGGAGGCAGCACTGAGTGCCAAGCTGGTTTCTCCCATGCATACTGAAGTAGTGAAACCTGTACGCTGGTCCCTGACCCTGTGCCTACACACCCTGAGCTCACAGCTCACAGGCTTCCTTCACGCCCGGGTGGCCCACAACACTTCACACGCTTGCTGGGCACCGGCACCCTTTGCACTACCAGTTAACCATTAATGTGGCTGCACAGGCGGCCATAGCAGGGACTGGACAGGCCTGGGCCCCGGTGACTCAGGGCTGGTTACTGTGGGGTGCTACCCTGGACTGCATGAGAAAGGGACTGGCAGGTCTTACTAACCCTCTGCACTCCCAACTGTGCCAGGAGGATCTCCAGCCTCCTAGTGACAGCGTAAGTAGTCCCTGGGGAAGCTCATAGGTGCTGCCTGCTGTGTGCAGGGAGTGACAGAGAAGGGCCTTTGCACGCCTTGTGTGAAGTTGGATGTGATGTCAGGCCCCACGGGGAGGCCCCTGGGAGAGCTGCACCCAGGTGGAGTGAGGGCTATTGTCCACTGGGGGAGGAGGTGTCCTCTGATGACCTGCACAAGTTGTGTATGTGTGAGTGTGTATGTTGGTGTATGTACACACGGTATGTGTCCATATAGTTGTGGTGTATGTGCCAAGGTAAGGAATCATTCCTTTAACAGTGTGTGTGTGTGCTCACACCCGTGTGGAAAAGGGGACATCCCGTCACACACACCCTTGGGACAAGGGTGTATTCCCTTGAGTGTGTGTGTGCACAGTGTCCCGGGACAGCCATGTGTGTACACATGGGTGATGCCTTCCCGTGATGTGTGTGTGTGCATGTATGTGGAATGGAGGTTGTTCTGGGAGGCGTTCCAGGAGGTGTGTCAGAGGTGCGTTGTGTGTACATGCATGTGGGATGGAGGTGTGTCATGTGTACACACTTATGGAGGCATTGCAGGAGGTGTGTCGTGTGTACACACGTGTGGGATGGAGACGTTCAGGGAGGTGTGTGGTGTGTGTGAATGCATGTGGGATTGAGGTATTCCAGGAGGTGTGTCATGTGTGTACACATGTGGGATGAGGCATTCCAGGAGGCGTGTTGTGTGTACACTTATGGAGGCATTGCAGGAGGTGTGTCGTGTGTACAAATGTGGGATGGAGGCATTCCGGGAGGCGTGTCGTGTGTACACACATGTGGGGTGGAGGCATTCCGGGATGCATGTCATGTGTACACATGTGGGGTGGAGGTGTTCCAAGAGGCGTATCATGTATATACATGTGTGGGATGGAGGTGTTCTGGGAGGTGTGTCGTGTGTACACACATGTGGGATGGAGGCGTTTCGGTAATGGCTGTCATGTGTACACACGTGGGATGGAGGTGTGTCGTGTGCACACACATGTGTGGGATGGAGGTATTCCGGGATGCATGTCATGCGTACACACATGTAGGATGGAGGCATTCCGGGAGGTGTGTCGTGTGTACACACATGTGGGATGGAGGTGTTCCAAGAAGCGTATCATGTATATACATGTGTGGGATGGAGGTGTTCTGGGAGGTGTGTCGTGTGTACACACATGTGTGGGGTGGAGGTATTCCAGGAGGTGTGTCATTTGTACACACATGTGGGGTGGAGGTATTCCGGGATGCATGTCATGCGTACACACATGTAGGATGGAGGCGTTCCAGGAGGTGTGTCGTGTGTACACGCATGTGGGATGGAGGCATTCCGGTGATGGCTGTCATGTGTACACACGTGGGATGGAGGCATTCCGGGAGGTGTGTCATGTGCACATATGTGTGTGTACATATGAGGAGTGAGGTGCTCCGTGACAGGTGTGTATGCCTGCATGGGTGGGCGAGGAGGCATTCCGTGTGCACGTTGCCTGTGTGATCTCTGCGGCCAGGGCACTCTTGTCAGGAGCTGCGCCTCAGGAGAATGGGGAGGTCGGTGGAGGGTCGCAGCTGCTGTCGAGCCTGACAGGGAAGGAAGGTGCCGTCTGGTGCTCCTTGGTGCACTGTGTCCTGAGGCCCAGGCTGCCCGAGGTATGGGTCTGCCTGGCCCAGCAGCCTTGGGCAGGGGTTCTGGTCAGGCCCGTCCCAGCCACAGGCTGCCCTACCTGTCTTCCCTGGCTTCCTGAGCCAGGCCTTGCCAGGAGCGGCCCAGTGGCCCGGCTTCTGTCCTAAGAACCTAGCTTCTCTGCCTGGCCCCCTGCCCCTCTGCCCCTGTGTGTGGCTGTCAGCCCTCTGGGCGTGGTGCCTGGGATGCGGATGGAGGTTGGAGGTCACGGGGCAGGCTGCTCTGGCCCCTTCCCTGGCTGGCCTCGATGGGTGTTCACGGTGGGCTCTGTTCTGTCTGGCAGGTGGCCAAGGTGGAGTATGTCAGGAAGAAGCCCAAGTTGAAAGAAGTGCAAGTGAGGTTGGAGGAGCACCTGGAGTGTGCCTGTGCGGCCTCCAGCCTGGGCCCGGAGCAGCGGGAGGAGGAGACCGGTGAGTGCAGCACCCCCGCCGGGGGGCCTGGGGGGCCACGCGGCCAGCCTTTATGGCTCTGAGGCGCTCTCCCTCCGCCCTCTCGCCAACAGGAAGGCGGAGGGAGTCAGGTAGAAAGCGGAAAAGGAAAAGGTTAAAACCCACCTAAGGCAGCCGACCAGGTAGGAGTTCGTTGGACAAGCCGGGAGCGTCACTCTGATCACGCCCGCAAATCGGCTTCTGTCTCCTGGGCTTGGCCCTGATTGGCCGGGGCCTGCCAGCTTCGGTGTTCCTGGGCTGTGGGTGTCCCGGCTGCACCCCCTCCTGCCACCCAGGGGCCCTGGCTGCTTCGTGTCTTTGTCGTTGATTGGGGACGCAGGATGGAGTGGTGTGGGTCTCAGGGCAACTCTGAGGGGTACCAGTCGGATTCGCCCCATTTGACAGTGAAGCAAATTGGCTGAGCCGGGACAGCTGAGGGCCTGAGCGGGCCCGAGTGTGCTTGGAGCAGAGCAGACATGCGCTGTGGGGGTGTTGCAGGACTGTCTTTGGGACATCCCGGGGGTGCCACAGTCCCAGAAGTCACGTCTGGGCTCCGGGCTAAGACGAAGGCAGATGTAGCTGGGCAGGGTTCTCTGAGATCCCCCCCAAGTGACCCTTGTCCTCAGCTGTAGTGGAACCCGGAACCCCCAAATCATTGGTCTTAGAACAGAAGGGTTGTTCCAGAGCCAGGCTTCCACTGGCCAGCGTGACCCAGATGTCTGCTGGGCCGTTCCTCAGCACTGCCTGGAGGAGAGTATCTACTTGGCCCAGGGAGGCAGGGAGCTGGGGTCAGAGGCCCCTAGGCCCCCAGGCTTCCACTTTAGTTGCTGCACCTGCTGGGCCCTGTGGTGGATAAGCAGGGGAGGGTGGCACAGGGAAGACCCGTCCCCAGAGAGCTCAGTGTGGCTCTGCCTGGTCACAGGGACCCTCCTGTCCGTGGCCGGTGGCGTCCATCCTCAGGGTTGCCTCAGAGCCCACGATGGCTGTCAGAGCTCCAGCACTCACATGCAAGGCCTGGGCTGGAAGAAGAAGGTAGGGAGAGGGCGCAAGGACCTGTGCGGGCCTGTTTCCCGCGAAGGGGGCGACGGTCCCGCCAGGGTCCTGGCGCCGTGGCCCTCAGCGCTGCCTCTCACCTCTCCCCACAGATGTGAGGTGAAGGCTCCGGCAGCCCTCTCCTGGGACACGATGTGTGTGGCGTCTTACATTCCCGACTATTCTGTACGGTGCTTCCTGGCCAGCCTGCGGTCTCTGTTCTCCTCCGGGGGAGACTGTGGGGGACAGAGACAGTGACTGTGTGTCCGCGGCGGGGCAGCCAGAAGCCGCCTTGTCAGAGACGGACCGCGCGGCGGGGGCGGCACGCGCCCAGGCTCGGATGGACACGCGGGTGACACGTGTGCGCGGGGCTCGGCTGGCCGCCGTGGCAGGGGCCGCAGGGCTTGGGCCGCTGGCCCGGACGCCGCCCAGTCTGTCGCAGCACCCCTCCCGAGAGCCTTAAGTGGATTTTTTTTACACCATAAAGTGATTGTTAAGCTTCCCTTTGTACTCTCTACCTGGCTTTCCTTTCGTGGTTTGTTTTTGTTTTTAACGATCTCGGACAAAGCGACATCAGTGACACGCGAGGCCACGGCGGCCGGGGACGGCGTTTTCCTGCAGGACACAGACTAATGACATATATTACAATAAATGTGCTACACCTGCCTATGCACCACTTCCCCGCGTGTCGCTTGAGTGTGGGTGCAGCTGGGGCCGGCGCCGCTTCCTCCACGTCACCCCGTGTTGCAAGGGCCTGGGCCAGGACACCTGTGCGTGGGGCCTGCGTCTTGGGGCCAAGTTGCAGATGCCTGGCTGGGTTCGGCGTCTGCCCCGTGTCCGGGTCCGTGTCACAGATGGGGGTGAAGGCCGGAGCTGGGCCCTCCCCAGCCCCCTGTGCCAGCCACAGGAGACCGCAAGCTGGGCCGGGCTGCAGCCGCGACCAACACTTGCCCAGAGGCAGCAGGAGAGGGGACGCTGGGTCCCAGGCTCCCACACTTCAGCAGATGGACAGACAGAGCGAGGGGCACAGGGCGGCTGGCCAACACGCCCCCAGGCCCGTGCCTGAAGCGACGTGTGCTGCCTAGCTGAGGGCTGCTGTGGTGGGCACCTGACAGGACGAGTGTGCCGATGGCCCCAGCCTTCTTGGTTGCCCTGCTCCTGGCTGCATCTTACCTTGGGCTGAGGGGAGGGGCCGTGGTGGACCTGGCCTCCTGACGGCGCGTGACCAGGGCTTGTTGAGTACCCAACACAGCGCCTAGTCCTGCTGCCTGTGGGGGGGCTCTTGGTGTAGTGTCAACATGGGCAGGACACCAAGTTTAGAATGGACAGTGCTGGTTTAAATGGGGGCAAGTGTCAGTGCTCAGCCCCACAAGTCTCCCGGGACGGCATCCCCCATGACCTGTGTCTGTGCCATGCAGCAAGGCAACAAGCGTCCCATCTGTGGATTCTCCCCCACGCTGCTGGCGGCAGACCCGCCTCCCCGCTAAGCCCAGGCCCACGCTAGCCTGTCCCTGTGTGTAACGCCATGGCCGTGTCCTGTCTCCCTAGGCTCAGGTCTGTTCCCGTTCACAGTGTAGTGTCCTCAGACTCCAGAGGGGCTAGTGTGGGACTCTTGTAGGCAGATGGACACCCCGGGGTCCTGCCCACCCAGCACCCTAGACTTCAGGGCCTCTGGGACTGTGCCCCCAGGGAGCGTGCCTGCCCCATCCCCACCAGGCTGTTCTACCCAAGCTGTCAATCTCTATATTTTAAAACATTTAAAATTTTCTCTTTAGCATTGTTTAGCGTGCCCATGTGGGCCTCTGATTAGGGTTGGGAAGGTCAGGTATGGAGTAAGGTTGGTGGGACAATGTTTTTTTTTTTTAAGATTTATTTTACTGAACCTTGGAGCATACTCTACATGCGGGACCTGGGGAGGGTGGGAAATTGGGTGGGCCTTCTCCCTTAGTACCCGCCTTTAAACATGAAGGAAACAATATGGAAATAATAGTCTTACCCACTTTCCTATAGCTCTTGAACCTTTTTACCCTAATTAACTATGTAAAGATTGTCAAAAATATAGTAATAAAAAAATAAAGTAAAATACACACACAAAAAAGATTTACTTTATTGGAAAGGCAGATGTACAGAGAGGGGGAGGAGAGACAGAGAGGAAGATCTTCCGTCCAATGATTCACTCCCCAAGTGGCCGCAATGGCCAGAGCTGCGCTGATCTGGAGCCAGGAGCCAGGAACTTCCTCCAGGTCTCTCACGTGGGTACAGGGTCCCAAGGCTTTGGGCCGTCCTCGACTGCTTTCCCAGGCCACAAGCAGGGAGCTGGATGGGAAGCGGGGCTGCCGGGATTAGAACCGGCGCCCATATGGGATCCTAGTGCATTCAAGGCAAGGACCTTAACCATTATGCTGTCGTGCCGTGCCCAGGTGGGATGATGTTTCAGTTCATTTTTTTCCTCCTGGGTCTGCAGGGGAGGAGGGGGGAAGGCTGCTCCTTGCTGTCCACCTACGTCAGCACCCAGGGTTGAGGGATGGTCATCTGCTGACACCTTAGAGACCTCGATGGGCCCAGAGTGTTCCGAGGATGTTGTTACTTGAGTGGTTTTGATAGTTCTGAGATGTTGTCAGCTTTGTTGCTCCGAGGTTGGGAATATCTTTCCAAGGTCTGTTGGCTGACCGAGTCCACGTTAGTACAGACCCAGGAACCTGCTGCAAAGCTTGGCCGGGAGAGTTGTCCAACCTGTTCCACTTTGCATCCTCTGATGAGGCAGCAGACGTCCTGTGCTGGCCTACACGAGCTGGCTGCCACGTGTCCCGTGTGCACCTGAGCATGCTGTCCACTGCACAGGCACCAGCAACTGAGGAGGCCCAGTCCCGACACAGGCACGCTGAGGTTGGACCACACGTCCGGGGGTTTTCCAAGGCGGCTGGAATCTGAGTCCAGGGGTCTAGCTGCAGAGTCCCTTGGGGTGACCTCAGACTTGACTCTTGTGTGCGCCAGCCAGTGCAAGGTCAGGTTCAGTCTGTCACACCAGCCAACTCACATACTTGTGGATACCGTTGCCTGGTCACTTCTGCCCCACCATCATATCTTTTATATTTAAGATTTATTTTATTTTTATTGGAAACTCGGATAGACAGAGACAAAGAGGAAGATCTTCTGTCTGCTGATTCACTCCCACAGTGGCCACAATGACTGGAGCTGAGCTGATCTGAAACCTGGAGCCAGGAGCTTCTGTGTCTCCCATGTGGGTGCAGGGTCCCAAGGCTTTGGGCAGTCCTTGAGTGCTTTCCCAGGCCACAAGTGGGAAATAGGACTACCGGGTTAAGAACTGGCACCGATATGGGATCCCAGCATGTGCAATGCCAGGACGTTAGGTGCTAGGCTACTATGCCAGGCCCCCACTGTCATATCTTATGTGAACTAATGGGTGGTGTGGCCAGTCAGGGTGACCCCCGATAACCTCTACCAAGCCCACTCCCAGCCCCGGTTTTTGTGTGTGCCCACTGTCAATCCCAAGATAGAGTGCTGTGTCTGGGAAGGCTGGGTGAGGTGCCCAGGTCTGGGTTGGCTTCTCACTGGCCCCTGCCAGACTTCCCCTTGGAGCTCTTGTCCTTGGGGCCAGAGGCCTCCGTCCCCAACAACTAGCAGCAAACGGGTATGGAGGTATCGAGGGGTGTGGGAGATGCCTGGGCCTGGTGGGCGGATCTGGGGACCGGCATGGGTGCCTCTGAAGCCAGGGGGACTTGCACTGTCACAACTGACCACCCGGGCCAGGGAGGGCAAGGGCTGAGACAGGGGAAGTCAGGCTTCTGAGGCTTCAGGAGCTGTGGGCCGGAGGCTGGGGGGTTGCTGGGTGGTGGCCAGCACGCCCCAATTGCCCAGCTTTGTGTGAGCCCTGCCCCACCACACTGTCATTGTGGCTTTCTCCCTGTGCCCACCCATCTGCTTTTGGTAGAGCCACCGTGTGTGTGTGTGTGAGAGCTGCACCGTGGCCCTCCTGTTACCTGCAGCCTGGCATCTTTGGCAGCCAGCAGTTGAAGCCCAGAGCAGACAGGTGGCCAGGAGAGGAACCAGCACCAGAGCCCAGGCTGTCAGAGGGCTGCTAGCTCGTGGCATCTAGCCTCACGGCATTGTGGGCAGAGCCGCTGTCTGCTTCTGGCATCCCATGCTGGAGCTCCGCTTCCCACCCAGCTCCCAGCTAGTGCAGCAGGTGGTAGCCAAGTCTTTGGGACCTGGAGGGAGTTGGGCTCTGGGCTTGGGCCTGGCCCAGCCTTGTCTATTGCAGCCATCTAGGGAGTGACCCGCTGTGTGGAAGACTCCCTTCTCCCTGCCCTGCCTTTGTGACACTGATGCTGCTCCCTGCTTGCTGGCCTGGACCCACTGGCCTTCTCGCCCTGTGCCCATCCCCAGGTCTTCCTGAGCCTGTCTGGCCCCTCACTGGCCTCAGACACCCCCACTGCACCCCTGCAGGCATGGTAGTTTGTGTCCAGCAGGGCATCTGGGCTGCCAGAGAACTCCAGCATTTGTCTTGAGAGCCCCACCTGGTGCCTGGCATGGCCCACAGGTCCCCTGGGTGCAGGGGTACCTGCCCAGCCCACAACAGCAGCAGGAGGGGTTGGGGAGGGCTGCAGATGCCTGGACCAGGACTGCCCAGGGGTGTGTCGGGGACAGCCACTCCTGCTTTCTCCTCAGCACCTGCATCTTGGTGGCTTGAGGCAGGGATCCACCGGAAGACGTCATTGAGTGGACGGTGGGATGTCCCAGGTTATGTGTCACGGGTGGCCTGGCCTCCATGTCCAGCTGTGCCAGTGTCGCGTCCCCTCTGTCGGGTGGCTCCCGGGTTCACCCGGTGGTTTTGACTCGTGGTGCTTCCACTCAAATTTTGAGGTTGGTTGATGACTCCAGTCAGAAGGACATGGAGTAGGTGTCTACTGTGGTCACTTACGTGCACAGCTGGCCTTTTGTGCCTGGTTCTTGCAGCTGCTTTGAGAGACCTGTGGACCGTGAGGGGTCACTTGCTAGTGGTGTTGATGGAGACGCAGTGGACAGTGTGACTTTAGTGTGTGTGCGTGCATGTGTGTCCACACATGGGTTGCTTCCATTCTTCCCCTTCTGACCCACGAGCCTTGTCCATCTGTAGTGCTCCTGGCTGGCTGCTGGCAGCTTGTACACTGGGAGCCCATATCTATTGTTCAGCTCTTGGGAGGCCTTATTACATATAAATAAATCTAAAGGACTGAAGCCCCTAAGTTACTGTGCTGGGCCCAGTGGAATTTTTTTAAAAGCTTTATTTATTTTCATTGGAAAGGCAGATTTCCAGAAAGAAGGAGAGACAGAAAGATCTTGCATTTGCTGGTTTGCTTCCTAAATGACCACAATAGCCAGAGCTGAGCTGATCTGGAGCCAGGAGCTCTTCCGGGCCTCCCATATGGGTGCAGGGTCCTAAGGCTTTGGGCCATCCTCTGCTGTTTTCCCAGGCCACAGGCAGGGAGCTGGGTGGGAAGTGGAGCAGCCAGAACCTGAGCCAGGGTCCCAAGGCTTTGGGCTGTCCTCTGCTGCTTTCTCAGGCCACAGGCAAGGAGCTGGATGGGAAGTGGAGCAGCAGGAACATGAACTGGCAACCATATGAGAGGCTGACATTGCAGACAAGTTAACCTGCTATACC